TCTGTCTGGAATCCTCTTAAAGGGGACGCGTCGCTGTCTGCCGCTGCAGGAGAGCTCCGATGGGAAGAACATTTTGGAGAAATGGTTCTCAAACTTCAGAGCCTGGACGAACCGGCGGGACACCGGGCCGGCAGCTCGGTCACAGACTGTACCGTTGAAGGCTGCAGTGTCAACTAAGCACGGTGAGTGTACCGTCCGCAGGGGCTGCCGGTGTGCGAAGCCAGCCGTCTGCGCTAACGTTAGCTCGCATGCTAACGTCACAGCTTGACGGTGTGATGAGAGCCTGAAGCGGGGACGGTTTGGAAACGTTTCTCTGGAAGTAGAGGAGACCTGCGGGGTAAAACGTGTCCACAACTAAGCTGGCCTCTTTGTCAACACACTACTTTGCTTTCTCAGCTTGTCCACTCAAAGTGTTTGCACTCCAGCTGTTGATTGTTAACACACAAACTGCCGCTGGCTCGTCATGTTCATTAACTGTCAGCATGATGCGTTCAGGTACTCTGTAACGTGGAAAACTGTGATGTTGATTTGAGCCTCACAGACCTTTATTTCTTAAATTATAATTAATTTAAGAACAGTGTGATAGGCTTTAACTCATGTGGATCATAAATACAGTTAAGGCACTGCAAGTTAATTTATATAGTACCTAACATTGCTGTACATGTATAAACAACACAACTTCAGAAGGTCAACACTTCTTTATTTTTTATATTCAGGTCTAATTACAGATTTTTTTCCCTCAACTGTTTAAAAGTTCTTGCTTTAAATTACACATTTATTTGTATCCCTGCACGGGTTATTGTAGAAGTCTACTTTTTAATTGCACAGTTTAAGTTTGTTTCTTTGAGGGCAGGGAGGGGAAACTTTGGTCACAGCGAGGGGTCACATCCATTTAATTCTGACTGTCAGGGGGCCAAATTGTAGAATACAAAAACAATTACAGTCAATTATGTCTCAAATTTAACTCAACATATACCAGTGATCAAATATAATTATGGAAATATTTTTGTTTTTCATGATTTCATGGCAGATTTTGTCATGTTTTCTTCATGTTTTGATATATTTGGAGATTATATTTACATCTAATGAGGAGGATCATAGACGGAGATTTAATTTTAAAAGTCCATTTGCACGCACTACATTAAAACAAAATGTGTATCTCAGTTAAATTATGGAATTCTCTCGATACTCATTTAAAATGCTGCTCAAGTATCATTCAATTTAAAAGAATGTATAAAGAAAAGGTTCTGGGAAATGATGAATGTATTGAGTTAATCTAACTGATTGTATTTGATGTTTCTATATTTTTTTATCTATTTTCTGTTTTGTGAAAGAAAGAGAAAACAACAGGTTAGCCATCTTATTCTGTTAAACAGTCTCTTGTGTTATTAGGAAAAGGGGGGGCAGGTATTATAAGTTTTCTTCTTCCTGCTCCTGTTTGCTCACGAACAGCGTTTCAGCATTATGAGAAAATATTTTGTTGTTGTGTTTTATTGTGTTGAAACCAAACACTGAAATGAGCAAAAAAATTGACCTGAGGGCCACATTAAGGGTTGACGAGGGCCGCATGTGGCCTCCGGGCCGCCAGTTGCCCACCCCTAATCTAAGGGTATTCTTTAAATCTTTTTTGGGGTTAATATATATGTATGGGAGGGGGGGGGTCGGTTTTGCAGCTCTTTTTGCAGCTTAATTTGTAACAAATGTTTCATGTCATGTCTTTGTAACCTGCTACTGGATGCTTTGAATTTCCCTCAGGATCAATAAAGTATCTATCTATCTATTTATCTATCTACCTATCTATCTATATATCTACCTTTCAAATATCTGAGAAGAGAAAAACAACATTTAAGTGTGTGAAACACTTTGACAAAGCTTGAGACAAATTTACATTTTGGAAAATATATTTAACTTTTTTTTTTTTTAAATTAATATGAATTCATTGGGTAGAAGGTTACCTGAATGTTCAACATTTATTGTGCTTAATTGTGACCTTTGAACTCTTCCCTGGCTGATGATGGACTTGTGGTGCATTCATGTGGTGTCGGGCACATCGTAAAAACTAGGTTCCGAGTTGTAAAATGCACGTGAACGCTTTGTGATGATGGCCCTCCCACCAGCAGGGCCTGCTATTGTGTTTTGCCCTTGTGTCTGTGTGTTCATGTCTCCGCAGGTTGCTGGTGGGCGGTGTTCTGTCACACCTGGACAGACATGATCAGTCTCCCAGGTGTAGGCTGTTTAAGATCAGGCTGTCAGCCTCTCATTCCGTCTCTCATCCATTCTCAGCATCACACCATCACCACAGCTCCTGAACTGCAACATGTTTTGTTGTATTCTGGTTATAAACTTTGCCGTGGTTTTGTCAGGCCGGGTCGTGACAGCCTGCTCAAGTCGGAACAACATCTCAGAAAACAATGTTTTGTTAATGTTAAGATACTTGCACATGAACTTTTTGCTTTAATTTAACTTTAATAGAGACATTTCATACATTTTCTTCATAGCATCCACGATGTTTGTTGCTGTGTTTGCTCTGAAGTTTGAGAACCATTTCTCGGAAACTGGGACCATCCGAGGAGCACATGAATGCAGCATAAGTGTCAATCTGAGTGGCTGTCTGATTGGGTGATTGAAAACTGAGGCAGTCTCTTTGGTGTATATGTACATGGAAATGGTTTCTTGCTGCCATTATACTTGATGAAGGTCAGTTAGACTGAAACGTTGTATGATCAAATGTATCAGTAATAAGTGAGACAGTGTGAGGATGCCTTTCTCATTGTCTTTAAAAAACAAAAGCAAAAGCAAGACTGTGCAAATTTGTTATACAGAGTTTCAGGTGACCGAGTGATGTTTGTCAGTTTGAGACTGTTATCTGAATCTTTCTGCTAAAACGTTGGAATTGACCGCTCACTTCTGAGTCACTTCTAGTTTTCTGGTACGTTCCCTTTCTGGGTGGATGCTGTTGTTTGTACATGTGTGTGTGGCGACTTGTAAAAGTTTTCTGTCTCTTGTAAATTTGTCTCAGTTGCATCAGCGCTCGTATATCGCGTTTTGTAAATGTATTTAATAAAATGTAAATGTATTTTGTCCTTCGTTAAAGTGTTTTGATTGTGTTATTTTGTTTTTAAAAAATGATAAAACATTTTACCAAAAAATGTCAATTTGTCTCAAGCTTTGCAAAAAAATGTGTTTTGTTCACTTCCCAGCCACCGTATCAGATTATTCAAAGTGCTTTGCAGGAGCAGAGACAAACTTCATACATTTCAGAAAAGAATATGTGTGTCCATATAAGAAATAAATACACGACGATGCCATTTCATAATCGGACTGCATATTTAATCGCAATATGAGTTTAGCAATACACATAATGAATAACACAATTATTGGTTTGGGAACGCCAGGCTAGTAAAACGTAGTAGGTCTTTGATTGGGATAGGCTTTTATTTGAAGTTTTACAGTAAAAGCCTTTTATCGGGCTGTAAATATATATATATATGTTTTTTAAGTGCAATAAAGTGACAAACTGGTGATATACAAATGAGGCACAAGGTCGGGCTGTAAATATAAATACTGTGCATGTTGTTGACAGTGCTGCAGGAGGAGCCGGCTGCACAAAGACGCACTGTGACTGTGGCTGACATCTCACAAATACGTCAATTAAACACTTAAAGGTTTCCAGTTGCACAAGGCTGTCTCAAGTATAGGACTCTATTGCAGTGTATTCTGGGTAAATCAAAAGTCTTTCCTTGGAAACAACAGTGGCAAATCAATTCAACTGCTTCCTTGATTGGTTACTGTTCCCTCTGCATGAAACGTCTCTGTGCCCTCAGGGTCCCACACATACTGCCAAGTGATTGACGTAAAGACCTAACGGCTATATTCATCTTGGAGTTCTTTGACTAGATGAGAATCACAATCTCAAGTTATCAAGTAGAACTCTACAGATAAACAGCAGTAACAAAACAAGAGGGAATTATCATTTTATCAGGAGTTGAACCTGATCAGAAACTTTGAACGTTTAAAAGTCATGAACGTTTATTTTCCTCTTCAGATGCAGTCCTTGTCCATGGAAGTGGGAAGCAGCAGCAGCTCAGCTCCCAGCGACACATCTGGCTCGGCGGTGCAGGTGTGCTTTCCCGGCGCTCAGGCCTCGGTGCTCGAGAGTCTGAACCGACAGAGAGAAGAAGGCCGGCTCTGTGACCTCTCCATCCACGTCCAGGGACAAGTGTTCAAAGCTCACCGCTGCGTCCTGGCCGCCTCCTCACCCTATTTCCATGACCAGGTGGGAGTGCTGTGTTGTCACTTGTATGCCACAGCTGTTCTGTAACCAGTAAGAACATATGAACACTGCTTGGAGTCATAGTCTCTTTCTGATTGAGAACATAGGTTGTTTTTTTTGTCTCTAAGAGGCACGCTTCCTTTCATGAATGCAGATACAGAATTTTTGAATTTGATGCACTTGTCTACATTTGAAAACCTTTAGGTTAAAATCGTGGAGGAGGCATGTGACACACTTCAGTCAACACTCAGTCTATGATAAGATAAGAGAATCCTTTATTTATCCCACAGCGGGGAAATTTACATTGTTACAGCAGCAAAGAGCAAAGACTGCAGACAAAAAGTGAACACAGTACAATTTAAAGAAAAAAAGAAAAATTAAGAATATACTAAAAAACAAAAAATAGATCAGCTGATGATGTAACCATTTGTGTTGTAAAAAGAGCGAGGCGAGGACTGTATGGTGGCGCAGTGGTTAGCGCTGTTGCCTGGTTCGAATCCCAACTGGACAGGTGCCTCTCTGTGTGGAGTTTGCAGGTTCTCTCCGTGCATCACTTTCCCTCCACAGTCCACGTGCTCGTTAGCTTATAATGAGTGACTCTAAAACTGCCTGTGAGTGTGCCTGGTGGTTTGTCTCCGGTGGCCAGTTGTTCTTTTTCACTTCACTGTCAGTGTTTGTTGTAAAATTAGAATATGTTAGTGGTGAATAATCCGCAGCTCATTGTATTTACTTACAAAAGAGCAGTAAAAACAAAAATCAGTGGAGGATCTGTTTTTCTGTGATCATCAGTGTTTATGTTCGAGAGGCATGTCGTCTTTTTGAAAACAGACCTGCTTCTATTCATTCAATCATTCCTCTCCCATCCACAGGTACTACTGAAGAACATGTCTACTGTCTCCATCCCTGCTGTAATGGACCCGTTGGCGTTTGAGAGCGTGCTGAGCTGCGCCTACACCGGTCAGCTCAGGATGCTGCGAGAGGACATAGTCAACTACCTCACGGTGGGCAGCGTGCTGCAGATGTGGCACATCGTGGACAAATGCACCGAGCTGCTGAAGGAGGGCCGTGCGGTAGCAGGGAGCGGTGGAGGAGGTGGCGGCGTGCAGGACGGAGCGGGCATCAGAGGAGGTGAAGGGTCAGCTAACCCCGGGTGTAGCAGCAGCAGCAATGGGGACACTGACGCAGGTGGAGGTAACAGAGCTGTAAGAAACGGTGGGGTTGGTGCTGGACAAGCCCAAGTGGTCGGGTCCATCGAGGCCCAGCGTGCCTCCCAGCCTCCCAGCCGGCCATCAGTGAGCGAGAGCCAGTCTCCCAGCAGCACCAACTACTTCAGCCCCAGGGACGGGAGCGGTGCAGCCGCAGCAGGAGCTTCAGTGGACGGAGGCGGGGCTAGCAACACCCCAAGCTACTGCACCCCTTCTGGAGGAGAGGAAGGATTCCTTATTGAGGAAGAGGAGGAGGAAGTAGAGGAGGAAGAGGAGGAGGTGTTGTACCACCAAAGGAAGCGGGGAAGAGGAGGAGGGAGTGGCAGGAGGAAGAAAATGAGCTCGTTGTCGGAGCAGGAAGTCGGGGTCAGCGACAGCTTTGGTGTGTCGTCCTATCAGGTGAGCGGTGATGCTCCGTCACTGTGGAACATCTTTAAATGCACCTTGAAACCTCGTGTTTTAAAGTTGTTTTGTTTCAGCGTTGTTTTTGTATTTTTGTCAGACAATGATCAAAACAAATGTCATCGTTTCTGAATAGATGTGAAGTATTTGTCATGGGAAGAACATAGTTTCTCTTTGTCCCACAGTCATGAAACAGTTTCTTAAGAAGCTCTCGTTACTATTTTAAATATATTTAGCTTTGTGATCATTAGCAATATAAATCTGACTGTGCAAATATAAACAGAAGGAGAATGATTATCAACAATAAGGCTGATCAGACACTTTGAAAGACTAAAACTGCCCGTTTGTCATGCTGCTTTACCTTGATTCTAACATGATGTTTCGATTATTCAGATCTTTAACCGACAACAAATATGAAATATCCCTCAGTGCTGTATTGTAACATGGAATATCTTGATTTAAAGGATGGGGAGGAAACAGCGATGCCACCTCAGAAGCGTCCTACATACAGCCAGCCCAGCATCATGCCTCGTAAACAGTGGGTGGTCGTGAAAACCGAGCGATTGGAGGACGACGACCTCATCGTAGTGTCTGGAGAAGAAGGAGGAGAAGATGAGGAGGACGAGGATGAGAGGGAGATGGAGCTGGCCAGACAGAGGGAGAGAAGTGACTTCAACATCTCCAACGTAAGGAGTCTTTCAGCCGAGCTGGGGGGGCGAGCTGAGAGTGACATGGACTCACAGGTGAACTGAGACTCACTTTGAAGACACAATGCTGTGTGTTCATGTGGTTATAGTATGTTTTTTAAAAAGCTGGTGGCAAGAGTTTTAGTTTGGGGAAAGTTAGAAAGTTAGAATGGATGCCAACGTAACAGGGAGGAAAAGTAGTCGAGGCTTTCTGCCAGAGACCCGACCCCCTTCTTTCTTCAGCAGCAATTACAATCACACAAGGCTGCAGCAAATGACCTGCTCTTTCATTTTCACCTCATATCCCGCCTCAGACCATCAATCTGAAGCTTTCTTCATCAGTAAGTATTGAAATTATTGATGATTTTGAATGTTGATTGTTATAAAATTTGTATTTTGTAGCTCCGCCAAAAACCTAAATCTAAGTCATACAGTCTGGTTTACAGCAAACGTTCCCTTAAAGCTGTATTTGATAGAAAATGAGAACTTTGTGTTAATGTTATCACCTCGCTAAATAAATGCAAATTGATTTAAATGTTGAACCTTTCTGATGAGTTGTTTTATCTCATGACTGTAAAAAATATCAGTCTTTGTTAGAAGTGTCGCTCTTTATAACTTTGGGAGATAAACACAGTATAAATACAGTACACCATGTTTCTGTGAGAAAGGCTGATGCATGTATCACAGCTACCGTTTCTAAAAATACCAGGTTTCCTTCTGACTGACTAATGACTAATATAATCACATCTCAATCAGAGCTATTTATACAAAGTTGGAACGTTGTGTAACATGTAATAAAAGCAGCAACATTTAAACTCTGTATTTGATTAAAAATAGCAGAGAGACAACATTAAGTACAGCACATTCCTACATCTATCTGAATGATTCAGGATAGGAAAATGTATAAAAATGTATACAGAGACATATTTTATTCTACACAACCCTTCTCATCACTGTGTATTTCTCTTCCAGGTTCATTCTGAGGGATACCATGACAGACATGAGAGAGGACTCACACGGCTTCATGTCCAGAGTGTTGGACGTGATCGACTGTATTTGAAAACAAATCAGAGATCTGTTCCACGTATAAATACTGAGCTGGAAGGTTTCCCAGCAGATTGTTAAATTTGATCTTACAGTTTAGTAGCTGATGTTTTCTTTAAAGTTTTTATTTTCAGACAAGAGGAAACTTTTATCAGTATTATGGTAAAAAAAAAAACTTTCAAAAGGTGAATCATTTATATTCTATTTTATGACTGTAACTCCTTCGTTGAACACACTGAAAGATAAATGTTCTTCAAACCTAAAGACACTCCTAACTTCACCTTTATTAATCTCTGTTAACCTTCACCTTTGTTCTTGTTTCCTCTCTTTTCATTCCTGTCTTTGAAAATAAGTTAAATCAGTCCTGAATCTGTAAAATGAACATTGATGATTAAAGAGTTTCATCATGTCCTTCTTGTCTCTGTTTTGTGTTTATATATATTCAGACACTATTTGTATGTTTCTTTTCATCGTGTTAATAATGTTAACCGATAGAAGTCATCTTGATCCTTTCTTTCTTAGTAAAGCTTTAAAGTCTTCTCTGCACAAAGTTTTGTACGTGTTTTCCTGTTTTCACTGCTTTGACAATAACCATGTCATTGTGATGTCATAGTTTCAGTGGCCACACCTTTCACGACGACAGTGATGACATTGTCTACATGTTTCTCTGACCAGGATAATCCGCCTGACCACATGAAGTGTTTCTTGAACTCTCGGACCCCGAATGATTACATCTCATCGCACTGATGTCAACATCCTGGCATTTACCATAACGAATCTATGAAGGAACTGAATGTTTTTACAAAGTTTCAGGGATGTTTTAGGCAAACGATGACATGCATGAATGGATTACAGAGAAGAGGAGTAATGTTTAAAAAAAATACTCAGAAGTTTGAAACTTTAATTCTGAAGGTGTGAAGTGATGAAGGTGGAAACAGCAGTTGTCTTTTATCTGCTCGGTTACAGAGTTTGATTTCTGGTAGAAAGCTCTAAATAAACACTCACTGGTGGCCTAGCAGTTAAGTTTGCAGCCCTTTAAAGGAGACAGCCCTGGTTTGAATCTGACCTGTGGCTTCCTTGCTGCGTGTCATTTCCCACTTTCTCTCTCTGTTCCCTATTTCTGACTCTATGCTTCGTCCTGTCTCTCTTATAAAGACATTAAAAGCCCCAAAATAAATGTTAAAGAAAGACAGAAAGAAAGCTCCAAAAACACATTTCTCCAGCACTGGTTTAAAAGTTAATATCAGAAGTTCAGATTTTGGTACCTTCTTTCTACAGGTCAAACAGACAAACAGCTGACTGAAGCTATGTGATGTGCAAAGAAATAAACGAGGCGACGCCTGTGAGCTAGTTCAGGCAGTCAACTCGAGCTAATCTAGAAAAACTGGGACTCACGTTTATAAAATCTTCAGATGCTAATTCATTCCATCCATTTGTTGTAACAGCAGATTACAACTTACAGTTCATCACAAATCTAAAACCCTTTTCCCGTCCCTCTGCAGGTGGACTACTGTCAGTCTTCAGAGGACTACCTCAAGTTTGAAGGCAGTTTGATGGACCAGACTTTGGCTCAGCACCTTCATGACAGTGGAGCCGGTCAGAGCCAGAGCGCCAACCGTGCCGTGTCAGCGCTGCTGGGCCAGGTCCAGTCTGCAGCCTCAGCCCGGACTCAGCTCTTCCCCCTTGACATGCAGGGGAACCAGATCCTCCTCTACAGCCAGGCCTCCGGTCTCTCTCTGGACTCTTCGGCCCCGCCCCTGGGTCTGACTGGTGGTATGATGGGAGGAGCCTCTTTTAAAGGACCCGGTCTGGAGCACGGTGCGGTGCACCTGTCTGTGCAGGGCGGTTTGGGAGTGGACGGCTTGGACAGCGGGGGGATCGGGAGTGGGGGCGGTGCCAACAGCACTGGGGGTTCAGGGAAAGTATTTATGTGCCACTGTGGGAAGACGTTCACTCACAAGAGCATGCGGGACCGCCACATCAACATGCACCTGGACCTGCGGCCCTTCCACTGCCCAGTCTGTTCCAAGAAGTTCAAGATGAAGCATCACCTGACGGAGCACATGAAGACGCACACGGGCCTCAAGCCGTACGACTGCCTCAGCTGTGGCAAGAAGTTCATGTGGCGAGACAGCTTCATGAGGCACCGCTCACACTGCGAGAGGCGCGGCGGGCTGGGAGAGAGCGGCGAAGGAGGGAGCAGCAGTGAAGGAGGGAGAAGAGGAAGTGATGACGGGCAAGATTTGATGTCACCTCCTCAACTCCTCCTGTCTGCAGGCGAAGGAGGACATGGAGGAATTCTGGGAGGAAGAGGAGGCGTGTCTGTTACTTCCCCACATCTCTCGGGCTCTGTTCTGTCGCCGCAGCACGGCGGTGTCTCAGCCGCAGGAAGCATCAGCAACAACAGCGTGAGCAACGCAGCAGTGCTGCCCTGAGCAACAACATGGCCGCCACAGGGGCGCTTCTAGGGGTCGTTTCAAGTCCAGGTCAGGGATCAGGGATGTTTGGTGGACTGGGGCTGGGACGAAGTGTGTGTGATGAAGATGTGTGTGAGGTTAGTGCCAATGATAGTAGTGTGACTTAAACCAAAAGTGTGTGTTTTGTCCACCAGGGGGCTGTCGTGTTCCTGGTTCCTGCGGCTGATTTTACAATGTTGTAAACTTGGAGCAAGTGAAGCACTTTTACCCGCCAACACTCACAACAAGCAGTGATAATCTTTGTGAAGGAAGACAACGCTTCTGTTGGACAAAAACTGAAGAACCTGTACGTGTTTATAAATCAACGCCATTCTAAGATTCCACTGTTGACCATTGTGCCGTAAAGTAAGTGAAATAGTGGTCGTTCTGATGGCGTCTCTAACTATCCTCCAATCGTCACGCCACAAAGACTTTTAGGGAACCTGCCTCCAAAAAGTGGCCTCAGTAAAATGGACCTTCACTCTCAGTGAGAGGGGTTTAGTTTTCAGTATCAGAAACGTTGTTAAAGGTTGTTTTTTTTTTGTTCTGTGTCAGAGTGTTGTTTATGTTGAGAGGAGACCAAAAAGTGAACAGACTCTTACCTTCTTCTGTGGCAACATTATAGTATCAGTAGAGTAGATACAAGGCTGTTCTATCGTAACGTATTGTACTTTATAAATATAATAAGTTAACACAAATCTGCACATACCCATGGTTCAGTGTTTGAAGAGAAGAAGCAAACGTTGCAGGTTTGTGTTTCTGAATTGACAGCGGTGTGTCTTCTCCTGCCGTGTGGATTTGGAAGTTACGTCATGGCTGCTTTGCTTAAAGGTTATCCAGTTGAACAGTTAAATAATTATTTATCTTAACAAGAGGACAAAGAAATATCCACACATGTGTAGAGAGGAGTTTTCACCTGACACTAACTATCTGGTCTTTTGGCTTGAACTCCAGACTCACTCTGATGACTTTGTTTGTTTTTTAAAGAAACAAAAGTCAGAAGTGAAGTTTTAAATCTGTTGTCCGATATGGTCCATCCTTTCTAAACATAAACATGTTTAACTCTTGAAAAGCAGGAGGCGACTCGTCTTCTCAGCCTCTGTGTTCGGCCTTCACTGTCTCGTTGTTCACAGAGTTTACTTGTAGTGAGGAGAAGTTTATTATTACTGTAAATATAAAGAGTATATACGTCGTATGAACACATACTAACCTGTCATTCTGAAGCGCTCGGGTCCATCTGATCCGCTTAATCAGCTGTAGAGAAAGTGTTCTGCACAGGGTTTCCTTGTTATTGAAACCTCCTGATGGTAGATGTTGTCCTATCTAAGCTATACAGTGTATAGTGTGTTTACAAGCATACCTCACCTGAAACAAGTTAGGGACCTCATTTTAAAGAAATCCTCACTTTTCAGAAGCTGGCACACACACAAAGAAGTCTTTTCTTTTTTTCATACAGTAACATTTTATTATTGAAAAAAGCCTACATTGTGTTTGTTTTTTCTGCAACAATTTTCAACAGTTACAGACCCTGACCTCTCAGATATTTGTGGACATTTTAATTTCAACGCTTTATCTTATTTTGAAGTAGTCTTCCTGTTTGGTTTCTTGGTGTGAATGTAGTTGTAGTCCAGGTCACTTGTTATGCAGAAGGCACCAGTTTGAAAGATAAGCTTAAGAGTCCTTAAATGTAAGTTTCCTAAGAAGTAAACTTTGATAAAGATGTTAGGAGGCACACAAAAATCTGCTGTTCGTCTGAATTAACAAGGTCGACGCCTCAGCTGCACATTTGGGATCCAGAAATTCAGCAATGCATGTCTCTGCGTGTCTCTCGAGTCACCAGCCTGAATGGATTTCAGATGCATCATCTTATGTCCATGGAGCATGTCGTATCAGCTGAGGTGATCCTGCAGAAACTCTGCAACGTCCAGCAAGCGGAGCAGAGCTTGTTTTGAGTCTCAACAGCAAAGATCTGATGTGTCTGCACAAAGTCAATAAACTGATTAACATTATCTACGTTACTGAAAAGTAACTCCCAAATAAAACTGGATGTTAATGAAACACTCGAGTGGTCAAAATGAGAGCTTCTGTTGGATCTGAAGGATAATGGTGTCTCGTTACTTCAACTTTTCCTTATTCCAGAGATAATCACCTCGTTAATTCAGACAAACTGAGCAGATTTTTAGATGTGAACGCAAAACGCTTCCTGTTAAGTAGCGCGAAGGCCATGTTTGGATTTCAGCTTTTGGAACAAAGTAAATAAAACCTGTATTAAAAGAAAACCTGTCCTACTGATGGTCAGGATATTTCCTTTGATTGTTTAACATGATTAACTACTGGGGTAGTTCACGTAAAAACTGTCCCTTCATGACATCACAAAGGGCAGTAGCCCCTCCCCCAGCTGGGTGACACTCCCACAGCTAGGTGTTTGTTCTGCCCTCTGAGTCTGCCTTCTCACCGTAAACAATAGGACATGAGCGAGAAAGACCGAGTACACCCAAGCCCCTTCCAGAGAGGGGGCGTGGTCAGACACAGCTCATTTACATATTTAAAGGTACAGACACAGAAACAGCCTGTTCTGAGCAGGGCTGAAATAGAGGGGTTTATAGACATGATCACATACAGGATCAGAGTGGATTTAGAACAAGAAACTTCACACACATGTTTTAAGGAACTCTGAGACTAGTTTAAAAGGAGGAGAATATGTCACCTTTAAAGGACAATTCCCAAACGACTATCTGATAATCTTGTTCTCATTAGAGCCGGTGAGTCTTTTGTTCTTTTAAAACTCCTGTGAGGAGTTTTTAAACTGGCCTGAATTTGTTGAGTTTTTGTTCTGCCTGTAACTGCTGCACGGTTTCAGATTGGAAGATTTACAGCACGCTGTGGAAAGAGGCTTTTTCTTTTTTTTACAGTACCCCCCGCATACATTACTTACTACTGTGTGTGATAAATCGAACTAACCAAACATAATCCAAACAGGGTGCCAGTTCCTCACAGGAGCTTTAAGTAATAATAATCATGGAAACCTCAGCTGAGTGTAATATGTTTTAAAACGGCTGACTCGTAGATTATATTAGTTTCTCTTGGGTTCCTTCTTCATTGCTCACTCAGGATGAAACAGAAAAAGAACTTAAATTTAGCAGATTGAAACACACATCAGGTTGTTTACTTTTTATCTCGTACATTTAATCCTCAAAGTTTATTTTTCTCTGGTCGTGTGTCGTCTCTCCTGGACCTCTGCTGAGGTTAACACACTTTTAGCTCTGTGCTGTAGATATATATTTACTGGGACTCTTGTTACTTCAGAGTAATGTGAGAGCTGTGTGATGCATTCAGGGACCAAACTGAACAGGTACTTAAAGGACACACAGACAGGGAGGGGTGTGGTACTTCAGATTGTGCACGTTATTCCAATGTTCTTCCTTGTGTTAGTCATTTCAAATGTTGGGTTTGTTTGTAAAGAGGTTGTTTATTTGTCGTCTTGCTAACTTTCTTCAAAGTGGGACGTTATCATGTGTTTATGTGCCTTATCAGCATTTTCATTTACTCGTTTAACACAAATTCATTCTGTTACTAAGCATTTGATCTCACAGTGTGATTAATGTTAAATACTTGTACTGTAAAGAATTAGTATCTTGTTTCAGCACAGTCATACATATTAGTGCAGAAGATGTACTGTAACCATAGCAACAGAGCTGATGCTAACTACATCGACAGGTAACTTTAACCGTGAACAGACCATGTGTTTGAGGTTTAATTGATTATTTGACGGGATTAAAAACCTTAACAATAATTTCCTGCAGTGCAAATTTGCACAAGCAGTTGCTAATGTGCATCTCGGTTTCCTAAACAAGTCTGATGTAACTAAACCTTCAAATCTATAAATAAAGTTTAGTTTTATCAGGAGTTAAAATGCCCTAAACCAGGAGATGTCTGTTTAAATAAGAAGATGAAGTTAACGACTTAGACATGACGGAGAACAAGAAGTTCCAAAAAGGTAAAAATGTTATCTTGATCCAGAAGATGATGACTTGTTCCCACAGGATATTTATATTGTGTGAACAACATTCAACATTTAACTCTTTAGGACTTCAGGAGCTCTGCAGACTCAAAACCAAAGAGAGTTTTTTTGTTTGTTGTTTTAGGCCCAATCAGTCAGGTTCTGTGAAAGCCTTTTTGTCTTCTTTGAAGAAACCGATCATCAGAATTGGTTCCTTAAAGGCAGGGTTGGTCATTTTCTCCAGATCCACTTTTAAAGACTTTGGTGTAAGTTGTCTTTAGGTCCTGAGAGAAATTAATAACTCATGTTCTCTGAAAAAGGAACAAAGAAAATCTGTCATCTGTATCAGTTTGTAAGTCTGTAAAAACTTCAACCAATGTCTGTCATGAGGTATCAATCTGATGAACCAATCAGACGCCTCCCTGTCTCCCTGCTCGCTCTCTACCTCTTGCGTGCTCTAGCTCACACTCAAAGCTCGTCACCGATGACTTTAGGAGTTTAAACTGTGAGTTTACTGACCGCTGAATGAGACATGAGACGACGTAGTTTCTACACAATGCAAAAGCTGAGGTCCACTTCTGGAGGGACGGCGCTCGTGCATGTAAGTGAGGGGGCGTGGCTTTAGAGGGAGCACAGAGGGGAGGGGGTGCAGACGCAGCACTGAGGGAATGCTACTTTCAAAATCATGCTAGTTTTCGAAAATGACCAACCCTGCCTTTAAAAAGAGCGCTCAACACTCCTGTTACGTGTGTGAGGAGAATGTAAAGATGAAAGAATCAGAGCTACACGATGCTGCTGTAAACGACATTCATGTATTTTGTTGTTAAATTTGTACATTCCTGAAATGTTTCACGACTTCTTTCATGACCTCTGATGACCAGTTGATTGTTGAACAGGAAGGGACAGTTGTGAAAACACAGTTAATGTAAATCCTGTGTGCTTATTAAATGTAACAAACTACAGTACATCGATGTTCACCTCGACCCGGTATCAAAATAACAGATTAATAAATTATTTGGTGAGAAAAATCATCTTTGTCTGTTTTTAATCTCTTTTAAAGTCTCTGGATATTTAAAGGATCTGTCCTTGGCCCAGTACACGTTCCCCCTGCAGCCACATCATCGACCAGCGCGGGATATCCTTCCCCCGTTACGCTGATGACACACAACTCTACCTGAAAACTCACACAACCTCCGCTGCAGCCACACCATCACCGTCCACACTCACTGCCTGCCTGGAGGAGATAAAGGAGTGACAAAAAGTGAGTCTGGAAGCAGACGCATTGTCTGTAATGATATGTCCATAATCTGTTACTGTTGTAGTCAAGACCACACTAACCGAGACCAGAACAGTCTGAGGCCAAGAGCGAGACATTTAGGGATTGAGACCGAGTCAAGACCAAGGCCATAAATATCACAGATAAATCATCATCTTGTGTGCAGGGGGCATCACTCACTTAGATTGTAATAATCTATAATAATAATCTTTATTTATAGAGCACTTTTCAAAAACAAGTGACAAAGTGCTTTACAAGGACAGCAAATATGAAAACAGGCAGGAAGGTTGAGGTCGTAACCGGGGGATACAAATCGAACTACAAATGAACTGAAGTTATTTGTTATATCAAAGTAATGACGGGACAAATAGTCTGTCAGTGGTGTTCTTGATTTAAAATCCAAGTCCGAGACCAAAGTGAAAATGCTTTCGATGACGAAACGAGACCTTCAAAAAGTGACCTTCAAAAAGTGTTCTCGAGACCAAGACCGAGTAAAACACTATAATCTATGACGGACCTTTTCTGCAGTAAAGAGGGAAGTTGGATCTGATGAGGTTGTTGACATATTTAAATGTTTTGTAAACTGTTGATCTTTCAGTATCACTTCCGTAAGTTTAAGTTTCACATAATCAGCATAACCTTCTTTGGCCACACATCCACTTCTCATCTGGGTGTAAAACTTGACCTTCATTTGACCTTTGAGGCCCAGATCAAACATCTGTACAAGACCTCATTCTACCATCCCAGAAACGTTACTAAACTCCAGTCGTCGCTCACTCTCTTGAGACCCTGAAAAAACTTTTCCACGCCTTTGTCTCCTCCAGGCTGCGTTACTGTAACACACTCCTTATCGGGATCCCTCAGAGCTTATAGAAACACATCCAAAACACCACGTCACCGGCTTCCCATCCAACTACGTGTTCAATACAGAATCCAAACTTGAGGATCTGCTCTCCCCACAAACCACAAGAAACCTCCACTGTAGAAACACCATCCAAATCCCACCAGGACTAATCTGTGTACAGAGGGGGATCAGGCTTTTCGCTCTCTGAGATCGGATTGTTTGGATGCAACACACACACAGGCCGTTTGTAAAAAAGTATCATTTATTATCAAAAAAAGAAAAAGTTCACAGTGGACGATGGATCACTCCTCTGAATAAACGAGGCCTGACGGGTCGTAGCTACAACAACTACATCCCAGGTCTACATTCTAGTTACTCTAAAGAGAATTAGCCCCAAAATGCAATTTCACCTGCTCGTCAAAACATATTTAAATGAGACTCAGAGAGGGGAAAAAGAAATAACGTGGTGAGGAACAGATATACAAAGTCAATGCTGTAAGACCCAAGTTTCATCAGGGGACACCATACACACACACACACACACACACACACAGGTCGTAATAAAATCTCAAATTCAACACGGCCTGTAACAGCAAATCACAAAAACATGAATGTATCTGAAAACCCAGTGTATTAACAGGAGGAAACATCTGCAATCACATCTCTGCTTCATAATGAGAATTTAGAGGAAACAGAATCACCTCGTGTGTCGGAAGACAGATCTGCTTTCAGATTGTTGATGACAATTCAGAGTCAGGATCAGGACAATATGTTGAGATCTCCATCGTAGTCGGATGTTTAGGATCCTTAATTTGTCAAAGACGGTTCAAATAAATACAAAAAGAAATCAAAAGAGCCGTCTCTGTCTATGTGGAGGGCTCAAACTGTGAGAAGCAGGTGAGTAAATGTTAATGAAGCCACAGGAAGCAGTTCAGGTAGAAACAATCAGAGTCACAATGAGGACTCTCTCTTAGCTTCTCAAAGGACAAGGCGGGATTGTTTTACACGTTTCTCATGATGACAAAACAAAACAAAACAAAAAAACGTTCCAACATCACTATTCCTAAAAAAACACAAATCTGGAAAATAGGGTCAAAAATGATCCGCTTTTCAGTCTAACAAGAGATCTCTATAGTTTCTGACAAAGAAAGAAATCAAAGTTTATTTATGTTGATCATAATATGGGAACATGTATTGAAATGAAGCGGCTCATTGATGCGTTTAAGAGTTTGTGGAAAACATTGATCCCTTTGGCACAGAGAAAGAACAAATATATACGCCTAACAAAATAGTTCAGTGGATTTATTGATGACA